GGGACCCCCCCGGGGGCCCCCCGGGGGGCCCCCCTGGGGGCCCCCCTCTGGGGCCCCCGAGGGGGGCCCCTGGGGGGCCCCAGGGGGGCCCCCCTCGCCTGTTTGTACCCCCTTGTCTACAGATGGAAGATGGGCCATGGCTGCATGCGGGGCTGTGGCGGTGTCGGCTGCAGTGTGCGTGAGCTGCGGTAGCAGGGGCTGCTGCGGGATACCAAACCCTAAACCCTAAACCCTAAACCCTAGACCCTGGGCTGTTTAGAAAGGGAAAACGCAGCATTATTGAGGAAGGAGGGGAGAAGCAGCAGCAAGCAGCAGCTGCTGCTGTGAGGAAAGCAGAGCCGGAGAGCTCCTGAAAAGCTGAAACCGAATGACCTGGGGGAGATTTTGGAGTGAAATGAAGAAAAATGAGTTTTAAAATGATTTTATTTTTCAATTTTGATATTTAATTTGCAAAATTTGGACAATTTAGGCCCGAGCAGCAGCTCGCGCGCTGCTGCAGCTAGTCTGGGTCGATGCAGCAGCAGCAGCCAATCGACGCAGCAGGCCGCTGCTGCTCGCACAGATCTTTTGTCTTTTCTTTTTTCATTAATTTAAAATTAATTAAAATTTTAAATTTGATTTTCTTAAATTAAAGTTGCTGCTTCTATTCTCCCGCAAAAGCCACAGCAGGAGTGGGACGTGTGGAGCAAGAGACGGCAGCAGTGACTGCCTCTGCCACAGACTTGCTGCTGCTGCAGCTGCAGCTGCTGCTGCTGCTGCTGCGGGTGTTTTGGCTTCGTTTTTCTTCGCGTTTTGAGACACTGCTGCTGCAGCAGAGCTGCAGCTGTTGCTGCTGGGGGCCCCGGGGCTGCAGAAGCTCAGCAGCAAAAGGAAAAGGAAAGAAATAAAAGTTGAAGAGGATATTATGGGGTGCGCGCAGTCGAAGAGTTCGCGCGGGCGGCGGAAGCAGCAGCAGCGGGGCAGCAAAGTGCAGCGAGCAGCAGCAGCTTTCGAAAAAGGCGCAGCAAAAGGGCCCACGGAAAGGGAAAAAGAGGCAGCAGCAGAGAAGCTGCTGCTGCAGCAGCAGCTGGGAGAGCTCAAGACAAAGTCCATGAAGCAAAAGAGAAAAAAAGCTGAACAAGAAGTCAAGGCGTGCTTCAAAGACAAGCCCCCCACCGGGGGAGCAGCTCCCGCGGGACTCCGCTCCTGAAAAGCGGCAAATAATGCAATTTGGGGGAATTAATTTGCTGCAGATATATTTAATTTATTAAATGCTTTTCAACTGAAAAGAAATTGAGTTGATTCGCGCCTTTTCAACGGCCGCAGCGCCGGTCTTGCATTATTTGAACTGCCCGCTTCTGCGCAGTTCCGCGGGGCAGAAACATCTTTTTATCTTAGTAACACTTTCTTTTTATCTTTTTAACACTTTCCTTTATCTTATTAGCACTTTCTTTCACCTTATTTCGAATAGACTTTTTTTGAATTTGAAGAATTCGAACGAAAGTGTGCAAAGGCAGGCTCTGAGACAGTGAGAAATAGGCACACGCGAACACACGCGTCATCGAAACTCGAGATAAAATTTGCTGCCACAATTGAGAAAGTGCGGATATTACGCGTTTTGGCAGCTTTTTAATTCAAGTATTTTGAAAACTGAGTCGAAGAAGTTTCGAATTCGCTAAAAAGGCGCAGCAACTCCGAAGTTGAACTGCGGGTTTCGTCGGAGTTGCGCATACACCTGGCGACCGCCACCAGAAAGCTGCACGGGACCCTCCAGTTCCTGTCAAGAAGCGGAGTTTGAACAGCAAATTTGTTTTCTGGAGTTTCCGAACTCTTTATAAATAAGAAGTAAGATTAAAAAGGCAGTAAAGGCCACGCAGCAGCGGCAGTTCCGCCTTCCCTGCCATGGAGCCCGCGCCGCAGCCGCGAAAGCGCTTCCAGCCTCCCTGGCTGAAACGCGAGAAAGCGAAGGCGGAAGAGGCTTTAATTCCGCCCCGCAGCATTTCAACAACACAAAAAAGAACAGACACGAAAGGATCGCCGGAAACTTGCGGAGTTTCCGTCCCGGAAACTGCAAGTTCAACTTCCGCAGCCCAGGAGGAAAGCGGGGTCCCCGGAGCCCGCAAGCGGCCAGCCGCAGCTCTGCAAGAGCCCCCTGAAGGCCACTTGAAAGAAAGCCAACAGCTTTCAGCAGCAGCGAAGAAGTTTTGCTGCGCAGCGCTGCGGCCTGCTGCGCCGGCTGCAGCAGAGTTCTCGGCCTACAAAGTCATGTACTGCAAACGATCTCTCAAGAAACACAAGGCCTACTAGTGAGTGCCACTTCGAGAAGTCCCTTTGGCTGCTTTTGCATGCATAAATGCTCTTGTGGCCCCAGCGACGGCGTCCTGCTGCCCAAGCCCTACCACTCCGTGGTCCTCAGCGAATGGGTAGGCCACTGGACCACTGGTCACATCGAGTGGACCACTGGACCACTGCCTTTGCTGCAGGGCGCCACGGTCACGAAGGCGCGCCTCTCGGTCGCGGTACAGGCCCCTTACAAGGACGGCGACACCTTCAGTGAGAGACGCAAAAGCCCGCATGCCCTCCTGCTGCTGCTCATTTGCTGCTGCTGCTGCTGCTGCTGCAGCAATTGGAGGCTTCGAAGGAGAAATCTACTCAGCCATCCCCCAGGCCGACTTCATCAGCGGCCGCTGCTTCACGAACTCCAGCAGCGAAGCGAAAACCGCGCCCGCGCTGCTGCCGCCGCCGCCTCAACCGCAGCAGCAGCAGCAGCAGCGGCAGCGGCAGCAGCAGCAGCAGCAGCAGGATTCTGCACCCGATCTTTTCGGGGACGACGAGCGCGAAGTGCCCGCGGCTCACCGCCGCGAGCCGTGCAGCGCCGCTGACGCTGCTGCTGCCAGCGAAGCCCCGCAGCAGCCGCAGCAGCAGCAGCAGCAGCAGCAGCAGCAGGTGCTGGTGGGGGAGTACCTGGCCGCGCGGCTGCGGCCGCACCAGGCGGAAGGCCTGGAGTGGCTGCAGCAGCAAATCGGGAATGGGGGCGGCTGCATCTTGGCGGACTCGATGGGCCTGGGGAAGACCCTGCAGGCGCTGGCGCTGCTGAGTTCGCTGCTGGCGCACTGCAGCAGCAGCAGCAGCAGCAGCAAAAGCTGCGCAGCGTTCAAGGCCCTGGTGGTCTGCCCCACGAGCCTGAAGGCCAGCTGGCGAAGGGGTGAGCGGGGATCCCGGCCTGCCGCCACTTCTGCGGCGTCACAGCCATGCTGACACTGCTGCTGCTGCTGCTGCTGCTGCT